TTTTTATCTTTGTATTTTCTTTTCAATGTATTCTATTGCTTTGCCTTCAAGTTCACATGTCTTTTCTTCTAAAATATACAATTGGCTGCTATGCCCATCCAGTTCCTCAGCCACACTAGACACATATCAAGTGCTCAACAGCTGGACATGGTGAATAGCAACTGTATTGGACATTACTAGTTTTACATATCTTTTACTGTAGAGATAGTTTAGAATTACACTACTAAGTCACAACTTTTCTGGAGTTTCTCTTGGGGTATTCAGTGAGAACACTCCAGTCTGTCTTAATATAACTTAAACATATCCCACATCCCACTCCTGAGTGATTTCCATCCCTGGAAATTTTTCATCTTGCAGTTCCCCAAGTAGTCTTTGCTTGTGGAATTTCATTCTATGCTTGCATGGCTTAGTATTAAGCAGAGAATAAAAGGGCTCAATATGCAGATTTCTTTTTCGTGCATTGGTCCCTTCTCTCCAGAACGCTGATCAACAACTTCCAGTCATCTTACCTCCCTGGACGCGGACCTCTGCCTCTTCGTTTCACCAAGTCTGCCAAACTCTGCTTTTGATTCTCTTCTTAAAATTTTACTTCCTGTCCTAGTGACATCTAAAATATAACTTTAGTGAATTAATATTCCTACCACTACATACATAATGATGAAGTTATACACTAATTTTGCAACATATTACTTAAATATTGTACCCATGTTCTGAGTTATTCTGTTTCAAAATATTTTATACACCTTTTCAATCAGTGCTGCACTCTTTACTTGTTCCTCCCATATTTACACCATTTTCACTGTCTCTTTCTTTTATAGTTAGACACCTAAATATAAAGCCTTATTCATAAAGAAAATCAAAACTTCCCAGACAAGAGAATGACTACATATTTTAGTGGGAATTCTGGGCAATGACAATAAAATGTGTAGTATGTTAACACTGGAATGGAAAAGAAGAGATACATAGTAAGAGGCATTAGTTCAAAAGTTGCAAACTCATTCATGTTTTTAATTAATGTATCACTTTGATCTGTTCATTTAAAATAAATTACATTAAATCATGATGTATAAATTCATTTTCCATTGCTTCCAAGCAAATCATCACAAAGTTGGAAGGTTAAAACAACACAAACTTATTTTGTCACAGTTCTGTAGGTCAGAAGTCCAGGTGATCTTGGCAAGTTTCTCTGCTCCATATCACACAATGATGAAATCAAAATCATGGATCATTTGGGAGAGAAAGGAGGGCATGGGCAATAGGGGGAGATTAAAAAGGAAGCTGGGGACATGCTGGGGACGATGGAATGTTCACCACCTCAGCTCTGGTGGTGGTTTCACAGTGCCCACACTGTCTAAAGCTGTCAAACCATGTACTTAAAAATAGGTTCTGTTCTATGTCAATAATTGTGCCAACCCTCCCGCCCCGCCAAAAAACACACACACACACACACACACACAAAACAAGTGTGTCAGGTAAGAAATCCAATCATGCATTAACTTAGGAATGCTATTCTTAGGTAGGAAATTTCAGATAGCCAGAGATAATTGCATAAATTGTGCCAATAGGACCCATAACAAGCAGTGAATCTGTGACTATAGAATTGAGACTTAAAACAAATATGGGGATTATGCTAACATAGTGTTGTAGATCCTATTATTGTTCCCAGTTCTTCACACTCCCAGAATCTATTCCTTTTGCAAAGTGACTTTGCAGTGGGCTATCTGACTCGCTTTGGTCAATAGAATGTGCATGGAAATGATAGTTCAGAGCTGCATCTACCCATTCTTTTTGAGTTTCTTTCATCATTGTGAGAGGAACAACCCTGGCCAACCCATGGTCCAAAGAGGATGCCTGACAGGGGAGCAGAGCTGGACCACCTTTCACCTTGAAACCAAATCCATCCAAAATAAGTCTATATTAATAATCCTTCAGATGCATGAGAATTAATGCTTCTTGTTTAAGCCAATGAGTTGGGTGGTTTACTATGCAGCATGATTGTGGCTACAGCTATAGGATACATATATAAACTAATGCTATTGAAATGAATAATTAACAAAAGTTGTTTGTGGTGGGGAAAAGGTAGTAAAGTAAGAGATAGGGCCAAGTCTGCTACCTTACTTCTACTCATCAAATTTAAGTTGATGCATCAAGTGACAGATACGCAATTCTATCTAAAACTACAAGTGTAAACATTAAAAGAGAGTATGATCAACTAAAAAATGGGTAGTTGAAGGAAAAGGTGGAAGAAAAGCAATTACACTAATTTCATTATTGTTCCTTTCTGGGCATTAAAAGAAATTGTCTAAAGAAATAGAGATTAAAGGAATTTTATGAATATACAGTTATAAAGGGAAGTCACTAAACCAAAATAAAAATTTCTAAGTTGTAAGATGAAATATGTTGTAAAACAAACAGGCCCACAGTGAAAGATATTTTAAGATGTTAAATGGTAACAATGATAAATCCAAATACATTTATATTATCAATAGAAACAAATGTGTTAAACTACTCTATTAAAAGAAAAAATATCCTAAGTAGCCCTGAAAGCAAAAACTTACTTTTTGCATTTATCAAGTGATACATCTAGTAGAAAGTGATTCAGAAAGGTGAAAAATGAAAAGGGCGGGTAAAGATCTATCAGGATGTTGCCACTCAACAAAAAAACACAATAACAAAACCAGCATCATGATTTTAATATCAGAGAAGGCTCAGCAAAGGGCAAAATTATGAGGACTTAACAATGAAAGGCAGTTAAGAACATCTGTGCATCAAATCACAAGCACCAACTATAATAAATGGAGATAGAAAAAATAGAAACAGAAAATATATTGACCTTTTGCAATCCGTCACACATAAAGAGGGGGAAGATATAAAAATGATATTAATATTATGATAGTTCTAAGAGATACATCAAGCCTGATACCCTGAACATAAAAGCTATATACCTTCTCAAATACTCTTGGAACATTCCCCAAAAGGACCCATATATTAGACCTTAGAGAAAACCTAAGAATCTCCAAACTAGAAATAGTATAAAAATATCCTCTGGCTAGGTGAAAATTCTTAAAATACCCAAATAATTAAAGAAAGAATGAAATAAGCATCAAGCACAAGAAGTTAGGAAAAGATCAGGGTTTCTTTTTTGGGTGGCAGAGCGTTCCATAATTAGACTGTGGTGATGGTTGCATGACTCTGAAATATAATAACAACGCTGAATTGTGAACTTTAAATGGATTACTTTTATAGTATGTGAATTATATCTCAACTAAGCTGTTGAAAAGAGTTAAGAGTAATACAATTAGGAAGAAGCAATTAGATTTAAGAGTCAACAAAATAAACCATTAATATAATCAAGAAAAACAGGACAAACACAGAATAAGAAAAGTAACATCCTGTAGAAACAGAGCTAACTTCCCTAAAAACCCTTCGTCTCTGTGTTCCCTTAGGGGAACTGTTTCCTTAAAGGAACCAAATCCTTTAAAAAAAGTAATTTCAACTTCATCTACTTAAGACCATAGAAAAGGAAACTTTCTAATAATTTTTTATAAAATGAGTGTAAGATCTTACAAAACTCAAAAAAGATTAAGAAATGTTTAAGATATTTCTGAAGAAGCAACTCTTTAAAGACAAATAGTATAAGGAGGGATATCATAGTTTGAATAGGAAAACAACTTTGTAAATATGTCATTTATCTCCTCTCCCCCAATTAGCCTATTAATTGAATACATTCTTGACCAAAATCTTAAAAGATTCTGTAATGGGATTTGACAAATAAATCCTTTAAAAAAAAACTTTTTAGTATGAAATTTTTCAAATACATTAAAAAATAATAGTTTAATGTATTCATCACCCAGCTTCAATAATTGCCAACACGTGGCCAATCTTAGACAAGTAAATTTTTAAGTTCATTTGAAGAGTAATTAAATAGTCATAAAAATGTTCAAAAAGACAAATGAGCAGACACCTTCTCTTGTACTTATCTAATAGAGCTGGTGTAGAGAGCCCTGGGATAGTCTCACCTTTTTGTGGGAATTTGGAAGGGGGTAAAGGTCGCATTTCATCAATGTGGAGTGACTTAAAAATTAATAAATATTTTTGGGTCAATTGCCTAAAGGCTTCAATTAAATTTCACTTCGATTAAGGGTCTAAATACAAAAATTAAACCTCTAAGAAAATGAGAAAAACTTATAAGGAATAGATTCATAATCTTGGTGTGAGGCTACTCCCAAGTCATATAAAATAATACTGCAGATTTGATTTTGTGAGTCTTAAACGTCTGCAGAGTAAAACAAAGTTCAAAGACAAGTGAGAGACTGAGAGATACGCCATACAGTAATGAGACCAAGGAAATTAAACAAAGACAGGGAGGGACGAAATAGGTGGCTGTTGGGAACGTGCGTCCTCTGGTGTCACCCGCATACCAGAACCGGCTGCCCCTGTCGTGTTCCAGAAGTAACTTAGGTGATGGGATCTTTACGTTTTCCTGAAATTTTCCAAAATTCTTTTTACAACGATCGTGTGTTACGTTTGTAATGAAAACTTTTGAAATTCTCCAACAACTCAAAAAGTCTCGTCTGCCTTATATTGTTATGTTTGACCAGCTTTATTTTAGGTTTAGGACACGGAGGCACTAAAGGAGTCTTTGCTTCCTTTGTGTCACTACTACACCTATTACAGGAGTCTTTACGGATACTGAAAAGGAAGTGCTCACGGATGGACACAAGAATGTCGTAGGCGTGGGAGACCTGGGGGCCAACACCTGAACACCCTAGACTTCCTCATTACACGCTTCGCCCATTCCTCCATCCAGCGCCCGGCGCATACCGCCCTCCACCCCGCGGGGACCAACGGCACGCAAGACTTCATTCCTGGCGCGCGGCTCAGCGTGACTCTCGCGTCTCCACGTCTCTAGTCCGTCTGGGCACGCCCCAGGCCCGCCCCGTCGCTGGCTGTGTTGTCGTCACGTGGCCGGGGCGGGCCCTGACGTCAGGGGCAGGGGAGGGACTGCGCAGGAGCAGAAAAGGGGGCGGGGGACTCGGCTTGTTGTGTTGCTGTCCGAGAACCTGAGCCAGTCCAGCTGCGGACAGAGCTCCTTCAGCCGCCCGACAATGTCGTCTCATTTAGTAGAGCAGCCGCCGCCCCTGCACAACAACAACAACAACAATTGCGAAGAAGGGGAGCAGCCTTTGCCCCCGCCAGCCGGCCTCAACAGTGAGTGCTGGGCGGGCGGACTGGGTGAAGGAGATGGGGGAGGAGGAGCTGCCCCGGCCGCCGCGGCCAGCTCCGCGCGGGGTGGGGGGGAGCGGGAGGAGAAGGCAGCTCATTGGTTCAGGCCAACGATGTGAGGATGACTGACAGTTTCCTTCACCTGTCAGGATGAGGTGCCTCTATTTTTCTTCTGGACCGGTCGTCCCCTCCTCCTCGGGGTCTTGGGGCGGGGGCTGCTTAGGTTCGCGGTTTCCGAGGGCAGGTGGGTGGGAAGAGGAGGGGGACGAGCAGATCCCACCTGTGGGGGGCCCCTGAGCGGAGCCTGTCGGGGCGTGAAGGGGCGGGCCTCAGAACGCCGGGAGGGTGGGCGGAGCGGGCGCGGAAGGGGACGTGGGCAAGGATGGGGACGTGCGGCGGGGACGCCGGGGGATGGACGCGGGCTGCCGGCCGAGGGGAGGGGGCGGTTGGGGGGCGGGCGCGCAGCGGGTTCGCGGGCAGGTGTGCGGCGGCCCTGGGCCTGGCGCGGCTGAGCCCACATAGCCTTGCCTTACTGGGCCGCCTGCCAGCGGGGCGCGGAGCGTGAACCCTCTGGTTGCGTTCCTTTGTTACCACAGGCTGGTTAGGAAAATCATTTGGTAATTTAGTGGTTACTTGTTTAACGTCGGGGTGAGGGGAGCTATTCCACTTTTTTTTTGAGATGTTTCAGAGTTGCTTAAGTGATTTTCTTTTTTTTAACGATGAGGTTGTGCGCCCAGTAAACCTGTACGAACAAACACATTCTTGAACTGTACAAGATTGCACAAATCGCGGAGTCTGGGGCAATGAATTTTCAGAAACGGGATTAAAAACACATTCATACACAAGGGCGGTTGAAAGTTAATGGCAGTATTGAATTACGACCAACTACAGTTGCTTTTCATAACATTCTGGTGCTCAGACATCTTGTCCTAAGGTTAGTCCCATATGGCTTTAAAGCCCCCAGAGCCTTGGAAGGGTTTTTGCTTCATCTTCCTGTAATTCCTCCCATGAAAGAGGTGGTTGGGACAGTTCGCATAGGGCCAGATGAAATTGCTAAAAAGTCGTTTGGATGCTTGCATGACATATAAAGACATGGCAGTTTCTTTCATAAAAGGAAGGTGTTGCAATGTGGCCTAAAAATTACCTTAGGGAAGAGAGTTCCTGTCCTCACAAGATGGGGATAGAATTTCATTATATTAGGATGTTTTCATTGCTTATTGCTGCTGCCCCATCTTTCATGGATAAATTCTTCACATGTTGACTTTTTAAAATTTTCAAGTGTCTTACATTCTACAATGTAAAACATTATTTCGCACACTAAGTTAGGATTAATTTGTGCCTGTGTTATTTGCCTTACTAATTAGTAGACATTTTAAAATCATTTACTTGTCTTTAGCATATTAGATGCGTGGGATTTTAAAATGACAAAAAACTATATATTATTACTATTATTTAACTTACTTTTCAGTTAAAGTTTACATTTAATATTAGTTTGTATTAGTTTCAGGTATACAGTGTAGTGGTTAGACAATCTTACACTTTACAGAACGTTGGGAAGAGACTTTAGAGATACCTATCACCTGTTATTTACCAGGAAAGAAACAAGTCTCAGGTCAAGTGTGCTGTTGTCCAGGCTGACCCCTGGCGAGGACCTGAAGCTGAGGTTTTCGCGTTCATCCCGTCTAGTGCTGCTTTCAGGACATTTCTGTTCAGTGGCCCAGGATTGTGTTTCTTATTCTTTCCGTATGTTATTCCACCTAACGTAACGTACAGAGGTTACCTGTCCCTCTGTCTCTTTTTAGTACCTGTTTTTTAATTGTACTCAGTGTTTTCCTATAATACCTCGAAGTTAGCTATTTGGTTAGTATGTGTACATGATTTCACAGAAAGCAAAAGAATTGTAATTTTCCTTTGACCATTTAACAACAGCAGCAGCAGCAGCAGCAACAAAAATGGTGTTGAGCTGTATGTGATTGTTTGTCTCTGTGTCTGACAGACCTATTAGGTATTTGATGATGTTGGCCAAGAAGTTGCTGCTGTGCTTATGTTCGCTCTTAAAAGGTGGAAGAACACTCAGCCTGTATGTGATATCAAAATGTTGCTTTGGGAAACCTGCTAGATAGGAAGTATTCCAGGGGTAGGGTGAGCTTTTAAGTTACTGAAAAGCTTTTGGATAGCGCCTCATTTATTTACTCCCCTCTTGCCTTTCACTCTTGTTTGTTTTTTGGCTCATTATACAACAGTGGACTGAGCAAAACAAGCCTTATTGATTCCTTCAAGTGATTTTTGGGCACTGGGCAAAACAACTTATTCAGGCACCTAATACATACTATCCAAGTTGCTGATAAGTTGAAGTTCTTTGTCGGATAAAGTTGCACAACTAAGAAAAACAGGAGATGAACTCATGGTACAAATTATCTCTGGCTTGGGATTTTATCTTTAGTTCGGGGATCAAAGGAGAGTTTTAATAGCAAGTTATTGAAATATTTGGAATAATAAAACCTCTGTTTTTTTTAGTTTACTGTTGTAGGGGAACTGTTTAATTTCATTACAAATTAGTGGACAAATATCTGAACTGCTTTCAAAGTTAAAAGGATATTTTCCAATTTCCAATAGTTAGTTTTATCCTTAAGAAAACTATTAAGTTACTTAAGAATATTTGTATAGGATATTTATGTCATAAAAGTCAGTAGGTGTATAATAAAAGGAAAATCAAGATACCCGTATAATTCTTGTTTAATGTGGGAAATGCAGCCTTTTTCTGTTTTCTTTTTTACCATCTTCAACCATGATCTTCTTGCTTCCCAATATTGCAAGAAGGCTTTTAAGGCTATGATACATGAAGCATCGCTGTCTTATAATACAGTTTTGAATATATAATTAATTAGTGTGTGAGTAATCTACTTGTGCAAAAAGGCCAACTTTTTTTTTTTTAAGAATGTCTGTGATTGTTCGTAGTCTCAATTCTAACATCAGATACTGGAAATATAAAATAAAGGCTTTAAGGAAAGAGGATAAGACACAATGAGATGTGTCACCCCTGGTTAGGGTCAGATTGACACATGGAGCCTTGAGAACTTGAGGGGAAAATGAGAAATAGTACTGTTCTCTTCTCCCTCTTCCTCACCCCCTAGCTCTCGCACTCTCCTTTTTGCAGGATTGAACTGGCGATTGTAAAACTCCAGAGAGAATGTGCAGCACATAGCCGTGAACGGACACGGTGACTGGGCCAGCCTTCGTGGCGCGCTGTATTCGCTGTATTCGCGGGGGGAGAAGCATGCCTCTCGGAATCTCTTAGCAATGCTCAAGGACGTAAACTAGAACACACACAATGTATTGTGTGTATGTACAGTCAGTCATAAGAGAACAGTTTTCAATTTGTAAGTAAGCTTTTAAGGTAATAGAGCCTGCAGTTTTTAATTTTAAAGCTTGATTTTTGGAAGAGAATTCACTCTGAGATTTTTTTTCTAATTTGTGTTGCTTGGACAGCACAATCTTCATATCCTGTCTTGTTTCCTTTCCAAATAAAAAAGGGACTCGCGAGGATCGGTAGAGTTAGAACGTCAAGAAATTCTGAGCTGTAAATCAGGAATGGACAAGACAATGTGGAAAAGGCATGTGGAGTTCATTTATTGAGAGAGATAAGTTTGCTTTTTTCAAAACCGTTTTTCTCAAAAGATAAAGCTGATATGTAGCCTCTTAATGAATATTTCTGCATAACTTTCTCTGCAGTTCTTTTTTTTTTCATAAATGATATTTCTGCAGAGAATTATTGATTAAAGGAAACCTTTTTTTTTTTTTTAAGATTTTAATTATTTTTCTTTAGACAATGGGGAAGGGAGGGAGGAGAGAAACATCAGTGTGTGGTTGCCATTTGCAAGCCCCCTACTGGCAACCTGGCCCGAAACCCAGGCATGTGCCCTGACTGGGAATTGAACCAGTGACCCTTTGGTTCACAGGCTGGTGCTCAATCCACTGAGCCACAGCAGCGAGAGCAAAATCTACCTTTTTAAGGCTCTTAATACATGTTGCTGAATTACCCTCCATTGAAACCTCGATGTCAATAATACTATTAGAAATAATAATTTGGGTTAACCATTGCCATTTGTATAATGGTTAAAGTATGGTATATCTTTACGATGGGATGCAAAGCAGCTGTTTATTTTTTTTTAATTTTTATTTACTTTTAGAGAGAGGGGAAGGGAAGGAGAAAGAAAGGGAGAGAAGCATCAGTGTGTGGTTGCCTATTTGGCCTCCTCTTGGGAACCTGGCCCACAACCCAGGCATGTGCTGTGACTGGGAATCGAACTGGTAACCCTTTGGTTCATAGGCTGGTGCTCAGTCCACTGAGCCACACCAGCCAGGGTAGGATGCAAAGCAGTTGTTTTAAAAGAGTGAAGTAAGGCAGTATATATACTGCATTGACACATTGAAAGGCATCTGCAAGTTGTTAGGTAAGAAATGCTACTTAGAGAAAAATATATAAAGTATGATTCCATATTTTTATGAAAACCCTGGAAGTTTACATATGAAAATTAAAAGTAGTTTCCTTTGGAATAGGAGTGTGAGATCGGGAAGAGAGGTATTACATTTTATTTTATGTACTGGTGTTACATTTTGAAGAAGATATTTTTGTAATAAATATCTTTTAAGAGGTAGGGTATAATTATAATATTAGCTAACACTTAACACTTCCATTGTACTAGTAATCTTTCCTGTTTTTTAGTGTGGTTTATTCATGTCATCTTCCTGACAGTGCTCTGAGGTAGAGACAGCTACTGTCCCTATTTTACAGATGAGGAAACGGACAGGTCTCGGCTGCGATGGTTGTGACAGAGCAGGGGTCGGTGCTCTTAACCGCCGTCCGAGTACACAGCAAGTAAGCGTCGTCTGCCTTGAAGTAGAAATGCCTTCAGTTATACTGAGTGTTAAGGCAATTACAGAGACCACTTTTACTAAGGTTTTCTAGATATGTCCCCCCAAGTTGATTGCTTACATATTTTTAATGCAGATGTAGAATTTAGATGTTGGTGTGGAAATCCTTCCAAAAAGTAAGGTCCAGAACACCTGGTATTGTCACACACTTTTTTGTCCTCTTTGATCAGCTACTTCAAGTGACCCTTTGTTGTGTTTCGGGGAACGCTGGCTTCCACAGAGACCCGTCTGGAGCTGCAGCTTGCTTAGTTTTGTCTCCACCAGAGCAGCTCTGGCCTTTTCTTTGTTTGTCTTTATTTTACACAGTGGGCTTCTGTAAAGGAACTGGTCCTATTGGTTTAAAATGTTTGAAAATGCCAGAAACAATGCAAGCAGGGGGAAAAATAGTTTATCATATATCTCGCTCTTTCTCTGCCTCTTTCCAGTTAATATTTTGCAGTGCTCTAAATCTAGGGATGCTTTCAGCATATTTCTTATACACTCTAGAGGCATTCTGAATATTTAGTTAAATTACCTTTGGTCTTAATGTCTGTCCTACCTTTGCTGCTGGAGTTTGTTAACTCACGTTGAGTTCTGTGTAGCCTGTGTCCGTCTTTGTGCCTGTGTAGCATGCGGGCGGGGGCGGGGGTGGTCCTATAACTGGTGTTCGGCAGTACAGACCCTAAGAAGTGGAGGAGGTTCGGGGAGTGTAACCCAGGACCGCCTCACGGGGAAAGGATGGAAAGGGTCACTTCATTTTTATTGAGCAAACACTGTTCTAAGTACTTTACAAATATGGATTCTTTCACCTAGTTTGTAACTGAGCACCTGCTGTGTGCTTCTGTTCCTATATTTAATCCTCACGGCAGCCCTGGGAGGTAGGCGCTGTGCTGTCATCTTTGTTTTACAAGTGAGGAAACTCAAGGTCAGAGAGTGGATAGATAGTAAGGGGTGGAGTCAGATTTCCAACCAGGTCTGCCTTTGAGCTTTTCCTTCCCGGGAGGAAGATGTGGGTTCACGTCAGGTCTGGAACCGCTGTTGCCTCATTGGTGGAGCCTTTAGGGTTGGAACCTGTCCGGGGCATTATTCTGATCAGCTGATGGAGTAATGTTTGGCCAGAGGACTCTAATGCTTTTGCTGAGAGGTCAAAGGAATGGTCCCACCAACCTGTGTGGTGACATTTTCTAAAACAAAATTTATTATAAGGAATGGAAATTTTGAAAAAAAAATGTATTACTATCTCTTTGTGTTGTGAAGTTGGCTTACTGGCTACTGTTGCCAATTCTTTTTAAAATTAAAGCACCTTAGTGTGTTCAGCAAACTCATCGAGCCAATATATACTTTTAAGACCCATCCACAACACCAGGGCCATTCCCCTTTCCCGTGACTCCACCCTCTGCCACGGTTCCCCTGAGAAAACTTGAGCATCGCCTGTGGCAGATGCGTGCATTCGTTCCTCCCCTCAGACCAAACAGGCTTACTGAAAACCCTCGAAAACAGGAACTCGTGGGGGCAAAGAGAGAAAAGGCAAGTTCACAAGGTACGTTTCATGGATAGAGAAAGGAGAAAGGCTAGAAATAGTGAGGCATAAAGGAACGGAAGAAACTGACCTGTGGGCTAGAGGCACAGCTCTTTTCAGGTTTTCGTAGCACTAGCACTGGGCCTCGTTGTGAGCAGCTGCGTTCACTTTGTGCTCCGGATTTGTACACAAATTGAGATTTTTATGATTGCATCTAAATCCCTCCTCTAGGAGCTTCACAGTTGTTTGTGCTAATTAGGGCTTAGTTGTCAACTTATTTAGATGACCTTTATGAAGTTAAGTCATCTATCTATTTCATTTGTGGAGACAATACAAGCAAATAACTGGGGTAGACTAAGGAAAACTTTTAAAGGTAAATTGTCTAGATATAAAGTATTTTTTGGAAAGCAACCTAAAAGTTTTCAGTAAAGTGTTTATTATATATAAACTAAGCTTTAACCAGAGAGAAAATGGGCTTAAAGACATTTTCTAAGATACTAGTTTTGGAGTTCCAGCTTTTTCTAACTTGGTTCATTGCACAAGCTACTTCAGGAACAGAACTATGTAGATTTTTAGACCGTTACTGCTCCTTGTTTATCTTCTTCAGAATACTCTTTGCGTTTGGTTTGAGGCGAGTAGGGCTTCTTATCCGAATCCACCATGTTCACATCTGTATGCGCGAGACAGATTGCAGTTCTGCTGTGGTGAACTAAAGTTATCTGACTTGCCCAACAGGTTCCTGGGTGGAGCTCCCCATGAACAGCAGCAGTGACAATGATAATGGCAATGGAAAAAATGGGGGCCTGGAACACGTCCCTTCATCCTCGTCTATCCACAATGGAGACATGGAGAAGATTCTTTTGGACGCACAACATGAATCAGGACAGAGTAGTTCAAGAGGCAGTTCTCACTGTGACAGGTAAGTGAGATCCAGGTTTTGATGAAATTCTCAGGAAAACAGAAAGGCTACAGGGTTAATTCCCTTTAGGAACAATAAATGGCTTATACCCGATTTATTATAGTGTGTGTATTTATTTTTAAAAATTTTATTTATTTGTTTTTAGAGAGAGGGGAAGGGAGGGAGAAAGAGAGGGAGAGAAACGTTAATGTGCAAGAGATACATCGATTGGTGGCCTCTCGCACCGCCCCAACTGGGGACCTGACCTGCAACCCAGGCAAGTGTCCTGACTGGGAATCGAACTGGCAACCTTTGGTTCGCAGGCCGGCACTCAGTCCACAGAGCCACACCAGCCAGGGCACAGTGTGTATAGTTAAATCAGACAGCTCATTGACAAGTACTTGTGTTTTCCCCTAGATTAAACCAGTTTCTTTATCAGATTGTATTGTTTTTAGATGTTTTATCAGTTTAAAACTCAGTGGCATAAATGTTTATTTTTAGAATTAATCCAGCTTTCTCCCATCCTCCTTTGTGTCCCTGTCTCACAGGTCACATTCTGCTGTGAATATAGTTATCTCTGTGTATATCTGTCCTCCCTTCTCAATTGTGAGGCTCCGTGAAGCCGGGTCATATTTCATTTCCTTGGTATCCTCATCGTAGTGGTGCTGGCCGGTGGTACACACTCGGCGCGTGCGTTGCAGGAGCTGCAGGTTGAATCAGGTTAGAGCAGTGTTTGCACAGTGGAAGCACCAACCGAGGTCTGTAAAGACCGTTAATTTTGAAGGCCGTTCTGTTTCCTCAGGAGAAGTTTTATTTCAGACCTCATTTTTCTCTGTGTTAGAGAGACTAATTCCACTGATTAAGGGGCAACAGTCAAAATAAAGAGGTGTGTATGGGTAGAAGGAAACTGAGCTGTTTGTTTAGTGTTTTGCATTTTTTTTTTCATTTTTTTTACTTACTGATTTTTTTTTTGAGGGATGGAAGGAGGGGAAGGGATGAGAGTGAGAGAAACATCGACCTGTTGCTCCACTGATCTACACATTCATTAGTTGACTCTCGTATGTGCTGTGACCCCATGACCAGGGTCAAGCCCGCAACCCTGGCATGTCAGGATCATGCTCCAGCCAGCTGAGCTGCCCAGCCAGGGCCTGAGCTGTTAGTTTATTTTTCAATATAAGCTTCTCTTTTTTACAGAGGGACTAGATATTAAATTACATACTGGTATCATTTGACAGTTCTTAGACCAGTGACAGCCATACTGATAGCATTTCGGGGTATTGGATGATCTGGTTAATTAAGAGTTAACTGATATCAGCCATGTAGAAAATGCAAATACCCAGGAAAAAGATTAAGGAAGTATTTTATAATGTAAACAGTCATTATCTCCAGGGAATGGAATTACAGATTTTACTTCTTCTAAATAGTTTTGTGCTTTGTAAAAATTCTATGTATAGCACGTATTATTACTTACCAGAAAAAGGATAGAAGGAGAAATAGAGTCACTCATGTTCAAAGTGCTGTGCGTCCTGTGATCCACCGATGTTCCCAAGGCAGCCAGGGCCTGCAGCTACGGCACGGTGTGCGCCCCCGCCACCCTGTCTCATCGCTGCCTTATCCCTGTGCTCCTTAAGAGCTTGGGTTGGCTCTAGTCATAAGCAAAAGGAGAGCAGATAGCTTTCTGAGCAGCTTGCCTTTGATTCCAGTCGCGAGAGCATTAGCCTGTCTTTCGGAATGAAGTTCACGTTATCCCGGCAGACCTTGGCAGTGCTGCGGGTTCAGTTACAGATCACCACAGCAAAGCTAGTCGCGCAGTAAAGCACGTCATCGTCATTTTGCTGGCGGAGGGTCTTCAGTTTGTGAAAAATGCAGCATCTGTAAAGTGCGGTAAAGCAAAGCACAAGAAAACATAGCACTTTAAAGAAGTAAACTGTAAATGTATTTCATTCATGTCACAGGACTCCCTGGTGGGTTTCTGAAGTTTCCTGCTCATGGGGTCCTGGTGCTAGGCTCTCACTCTACATTCAGGCGTGTGACCCTGGATCACCAGTGCCAGTGTGTTGCTTCACCTGGTGCTGACTCGGCCTTGTCACTGAGCAGAGGAAAAGTCACCTGCTCACCTTTCTGGTCATCTGATTTCATTGATGGCTGCAGTGATGCTTGTGATCAGATATGAATTCACCCTCCCATGATCGTTTTTCTCCCGGGTTTCAGACCACGTGAAGGGAGGTGTGGCAGGTGCTTTTGAACGCTTTTCTGTCCCTCAGCTCGTGGATCTGCAGGCTCTGGCTTACTGGTCGTCTTTCGGAGGAGGCCTAGAGCTACAGCGCAGTAACACTCTTGAGATAACTGACACACTTGAACATTTAAAAGCGTCTTCAAAATTCATGTCATTTGAATTGTTACGCATCTGTGTATTTGTAGTTGTTGAGAAGTGTTCCTTGTCGGTGGCAAAGTTTTAGGATTATTGGCTGTTGGTCCCAAAGCTAATTTATGTACATTTTCAGTTTTAAAGTGATTTCATAGGTATACTTTTGTCACTGCAGTAGATGTTAGAAGATAACACCTATGTGTTTTGCTTTGCATTCTACCCTGTTGTAGGAGGTTTCAACCTACGATTCATCCAGGGAGCTTTTAAAAATACCAGTGCACCAGATGCCATCCCTGGAGATTCTCATTCTGTTGTCAGGGGAGGGGTAGAGTAGAAACAGGAGAATATTTAAAAATCTCCCCCAGCTGATCCTGACATAAGCCAGGGTTGAAGCTCTGATGCGTTCCCAAGTGTGAGAAGTAGGAAGAAGTTGCCCGCAGGCGTCTTTGGTACTTCTGAGCGAGATGGCAGCCAGGGTCGAGAAGAGTGGAAGTGGAGCAGGGCTTGGGTCGGTTCCCCCCTGGCACGCTGCTGCCTTGGCCTGCTCGCGGCGCGCTCTGGCTGGCCCTTAACCCGACCTTTGGCTGTGACCCCGGCAGAGTTACGAGCGTAATGACAGTAAACTGAGGTTTCTAGTTCAAGACAACAGCTTTTCGGATACATTAATATGTTTGTTTGCTGGAGAACCAGCTTTTCTCTTTTCCTGCCTCCCTTTAAGAGTCTCCTGTGCCAACCGGAGCAGGCCAGGGCTCCTAGGCCTCGTCGGTCTGATGCGTTTCTGGCCTTCGCACTTCCTTGTGCGTCAGTCTCACCACCACGTCTCTCTGTTAACATGGTGCACACGCCCCTGATAGCCTCAGTACTCGACATCTGTGCCGTGGAGCATTTTTCATCTCCACTTGAGGTTAGATTTTGGGGAGGGTGTGTTTAGTGAAGACCTAGAGACTTGCTGTGCAGTTACACAGGGAGTCACTGATAAAGCTAAGAAGAGGACTTAGCACATTACATTCGAGTGCGTCAAGTACAGTTCATGGTCATGTGTCTTTGTCTAAATATTTAATCTGTAAATTTTTGTAGTTCTGGGACTATAGTTTGTATTTTTCATTAAAGGTGATATATTCATACATATATATACAAATGTATATATAGATCTATATGTATATGCTTACCTAATTCACTGAAAGGTCTCAGCAAATATTTCTGAAATAACCAGAATAGTGGTTCTCAAGCTTTTTGATCTCTGTGCTTCTTCACTTTCCTAAAAATTACCAAGGACCCCACAGAGCTTTTGTATATGTGGATTATATATTTTGGTATTTACTGTATTAGAAATTAAAACCGAGAAAATTTAAAAACATGTATTTATTCATTCAACAATAATAAACCATTATATTTTAATATAACTTTTAAAAATGGGAAACAACTAGTTTTCATAAACAAAAAAAATTAGTAGGACTAGTGGCACTGTTTTACGTTTTTGTAAATCTCTAAGTAACGGGGCTTAGAAAACTGTTGGATTCTCGTGTGCGTTTGCATTCGATCTGTTGTAATATCACACATGTAACCTTTGGAAAATTTCACTGCATGTTCAAGAGAGAATGAGAATGAAAATAGCAAATGAATCTAATAATATTATAAAACAGTTTTAACCTTGAAGACCAAATGAGCCTTTGGAAACTGCTTTCACACTTTGAGAAATGCTGGTAATGAATTATTTAATGATGAAGGAACTTTGAGACAAAGAACTCCAAACAAGGTTTTTCCGTATTTAAAGATCATTTTACCTTTATTGGAAAAAAAAAAAAGTAGGTAACATTTCCTTTGCAAAGTTATCACAGCAAAGGAATTTATCACCACAGAAAAATTCCAGAACATTTTGGAAGTAAAAGTGCTCAATTACACTTTTTCTTCTGTGGGGTTCTGGTGTACTTCTGATTTGCTGCTTTCAAAGCCATACTACTGTAACTTTTAATTTTCTAATTTCCAGTAGAGGATAATTTATTCAGTGAGAATTAAAACTAATGACTAAATTCTTTCTCTCCTAGCCCTTCCCCACAAGAAGACGGGCAAATCACGTTCGATGTGGAAATGCGTACCAGCAGGGACCATAGCTCTCAGGTGTGTGTGTGTGTGTATGTGTGTGTGTGTTAATTTACTGTTCTGATTCACGGTAAATAAGGAAATTCAAGGCTCTAAGTATGTTTGTTTGGCTAACATATATTAAATAATTAGAAGACTTTAAAAAATAGTTCGAAGCTGTTTTAAGTTAATCAGTCTCTGATTTTGGAATTCACTTAGGATGATACAGTCCTTTCTGTATTCCTTTACAAGTGAGAATTTGGGGACACCTATCACCCTAAAAGAATTGGAAAATGATTGTCTATGTTGTGTCATTTTACTGTGCCAGGCTAGTTTCTTAAGTTTATAGATAGAAAACCAAAACACATGTCTTATTTAAGGTCACAAAATAAATGAAAAGGAAGGTGGTTATAGAACAGGAATGAAAACTTTTGCTGCTTCTGAAATGAAAGCAATGACTTTTGAGATGAATTTCAACAGCTAAGATAAAATTGATGTAAATTGTGCAGGTTCCTTAAGTTTCATAAGGTAAATATAGTTCACTTAGGAGTTGACGCTGTCAGAATATAGCTGGATATGGTATTGGAAGCTCTTAAGGGTCTGTGTTACGAAATTTGCGATAAGTAAGTAAGTGTTAATGATTTCAAATATTCATAGCCAGCCTCTAACTTTGTTGATGTGCCAGGTCTCCTCTATGTGTCAGAGTGCGGATTCCTGAGGGTAGGAACTGTATTGTCCTTTTCTCTCATGGTAAAGTGCTTGAAGAGTTGAATGAATGTTTAAATAAATTCTAGTAAAAAACTTTGCTTTGTGGGGTTCTCACTATACAATGTCTCCAACCCTTTGAACTAGAAATACTTTGCATGTTATCTGGGATCCACCCACTATTGTTCTGTTTCAGAAGGCTGCGTGATTTCTTCCTAGTTTGACTTTGCTCTGTTTGTGCTGTTCTCTGAAACCCAGGAAACCTCTGGGATTGAACACAAGTGTATTTAATGATGAACTGTGTTCTGTAGAGGAGCTTAGAGTAGCTCGGCTCTTGTGTAGGAAGGTGTCTGACTGAACCGGAACTGCTGGATTTTGTATGTCAGTTTGGCCGTGTGCGGTAAGCTGTAACAGTGAAGAAGGTCTGTGAAGTTTCTATGGCAAAAAGCATACTAAGGAATCCGAGTTTGGGAAATGAAATTAATTCTTTGCTGTAGACTATCCTGAGGAAAATGTCCTCAATCCATGTTGTCTTTTGTACAGACACATTGAAAATCTAGATGAGCATTTTCCAAAATGTGTGTTGAGCATTTGCTCAGCGAGAAGCCCCATAAAATTGTTCTGAAGTCAAATAAGCGGAAAAGAACATAGCACCCGGGTTCCCTCACCTCCGCTAGTCACAGCAGTCCCTGCAGTGAAGTCTGTTTCTTTAAACTGAGTACTTCCCAAGTATTTATGTGGCAGCAGACGCCCTCACCCTCCACGCACACTTTTTCCCTCCGATAATCTGCCTGGCAGCCCAGTGGGCCGCTTCGGTCGGTGTTCCTGGGGTGGCCGGTGTGCAGTTAGACTTAACTGACCATCGAATTTAAGGGGACTTCTCGAGTTGAAAATGTAAGACTTCTGGCCTCTGCGTTAGGTTATGATAGCAGCGCTGGTGTGATACCTATTCAGAAACAAGTATCTGAAGGAACATTGGTTAACATCAAGCCTTTGGTAAGCGATACAATCAGATAAGTCAGTTTAAACGGGGTTACATGTTTGGAAAAACAGTTTAACTTTTACGCATATATCAAAAGCATTATATCTTTTTTTTTAAATCCTCACCCAAGGATATATTTATTGATTTTGGCAGGGGCAGGGGGAGGGAGAGAAATATTGATTGGTTGCCTCCTATGTGCGCCCCAACAGGGGATCGAACCCGCCGCCTAGGTATGTGCGCTGACCGTGATGGAACCCACAGCCTCCTGGTGGACGGGATGACGCTCCAACCAACTGAGCCACCCAGCCAGGGCATCAGAAGCATTATATCTTTTAGACTAAGACTTTTAGTGAAGGAAATAGCAGTAGGTACAATTTATTTAAACTTCCAAAAGGCCTTTTAAATTGCTTTTAAAAAAATTGCAGAAAAAATAATGTAAAATTAATAATTACTTCAGGGTTTGGGAGGATGGTTTGTTTTTTTTTCATGAATGAGAAGCAAGTTTAGGGTTAATTTAAAGCAGTTAACAGAGGACTATTATGATTCTTGCTTTTACGGAATGTTTTTATGTATGTCTATATGAGGAACATGACATTTTCAGCATTTCCTTGGAGGAAGAAGGAAAGATATTAATATTTATTAGTTATATGATTGGTGCTGTTTATATTTTTAAGATTCCCCCCCCCTTTTAATGTTCTCATTTCAGTGAAGGAGGTGATATTATACCCATGAACAAATGGGAAAGGTGAGGCTTTGTCTTAATTAAGTTACTTATCTAAGATTACAAAGCAAGTAAGTGATAGAGCCAGGATTGAAACCAGGGCTGCCTGAGCCTTTGAGCCCCGTTCCTTTTACTAAAATAAGTCATTGAACGGGTTCGGTTTCAGGAGAGCTCACAAGGTCGGGAGAACAAACTGACGCATGTCTGGTGAGGTAGGGTGTGAGGAAGCCCAAGCTGGAATGCATTTAGGCAGAAGGTCATTCAGACTGTACTTTCAGGATGGTAGTGCTCAAGAGTCTCAGTCTTGTCGCAGAAAGTACACAGTGGCTTGTCTCTTGAAGACACTTTGCAGTATGTGTCTGGGACCAAAGAGGCCAGCCGTGTTGAGCATCGCTGGAAGGCGATAGACTCTGAAATTGTCCTCCCTTTTCCCTCTTGGAAACTGTGGTTTCTCTGAGCATGGACCCCACAGACTGCAGTTTACTGTCTGTGTTTAGAGACCTAAGAACTTGAGGTGCTCCAGAGAAGGACAGTGTAACGGGACAGAAGCTGAGGGCCTTCCACATGAGGACAGGCTGAAATGACCATAGTTTACTGTCTGAATAGATGTGGGTGTAGGGTTGGGTTATCGATTCGGTTCAAAGCATAGCTCTTATTTAATTAGATTAGGTGCATTTTACCATATTCTGAAATTCTGAGTTGGAGGACAATTTAAAACGTGAAACTGGCAAATTTAAGATTAATAAAACGAAGCTAAGGCCTGATAATAAATGAGAGCTGGATAGCTTATGATCCTGATTCTAAACTGATCTGAGTTAAAAAAAAAAAAAAAACCAAAGATAATTTTGCTTTACTCAACTGAGAGAAAAATTACATCATCTTTAAAAAATTGAACAAAATATATTATATTTTAATTGTGTGGAAAGTATGAAATACTAACTTATTCACAAACTAAAACTGAAAACTTTGAGCAGTTTGAGAGAGAGACTTGCGAGGCCAAAGTTGGAAACTTCACAGAAAGGACCTGCAATGTGTTGAATGTAGTCAGATACTGTGTGTACACAAATTGATCTATCAATAAATTGTAACTTTTTTTTTATTTAGGGTGTTTTTAGATTTACTCTAAAGAACCAACTCATGATTCTGAGTAATCTCAATACCCAGTGGAAAAAGCTTAATTCTGAAGGCACAGTGTGTCATCCAGTGGGATTTGCCATGTCCAGGGAAACTAAATACGAATGATACTACAGAGCAGCAAAAATCCATAGGGATTGTACTTTAGGTTTGATAGTAAAAAGAACTATCTGTATCTGGAGAGTATCTGAAGCTACCTTCCCTGGCAGCTATTCCACAGAGGACTAGACCTGTCAAAAAAGGAATCACGGGGATGTGTCAGGCTCTGCATTTCGTAACTAGCTACGGAAAAAAATCGAAGTTTTGGTCAAAGACTGGATCCTATTCAAACAAAATAACAAATCAAAAACAGTTCTTAGCTTTGAGATCCTTTGGTTTGAGGTCATAGCATCACATTCCCTAAAACTGAATAAATAATGCTGTCATTTTTAGGAATGTCTCATTACTGTGGGTTCTATTATAAGAGAAGCTTTTGGAAAATTTGATTGCTCTTGGCATGAAAACTTTAGGTTATTATTAAAGAGAAAACACATTTCTTTTTCATTTAGTTGATATGAAAGATGTCAAATTCTGACTCCATATAAAATAACGATTAAAAAAAAAAGCCAAACCCCAAACTTTCAGCTTAAGTAGTTTTGAATAAACCTTGGGAAATGTTTGGACAGTGGTTCGTTTAGAATAGCAGAACCTTCTAGGGAGTAACCCAATAACACTGAAGACGGAGGGCCCTGGGGGCACTGGGCTCGGGTTTGCGATCTGGCCCTGCTACTTCGGCGCTTACAGAGTCTTAGGCTGTTACCTAATTCATCTCTCTGTTTCCTCCTCTGTAAAAATTGAATATTAATAGTTCCTATTTTTATAGGGTTATTGCAAGGTAAAAATTAATGCATGGAAAGGGCTTAGAATCAGGCTTGTCTCTTGATACATGCTGAATAAATACTATTATTATTTGTTTCCTGATCATGTCTCCCAGTTATGTATTTTCTCATCTCTTTATATTTGATAGCATATGTTTTTTGATATGTTGTCTTTCATTTTTAATTATAAAAAGTTTTAAATACATACAAAAGTAAAGAGTATATTATCGTGGACTTTCATGTAAGCATCGCCCAGATGCAACAATTATCAACGTTTTCCACACTTCAGTTAGCATAGCTTCAAATAGTCTTTTTTTCAGGTTCACTTTTTTTTTTTCATTGAGGTTTAATTGAAGTTTCAGGTTCATATCCTCTGCTTAGATACAAAAACAGTGAAACTCATTCAAGCTCTTTTTAAGATTTTAAGTACTCTGATCTTAGATTATTTTGTCAGCCTTTTTAGAAAAATAGCGTATTTCTTACATAAAAATTACTGATGTTCAACCTTTTGATGTTTGTGTATTCTCTGTCTAGATTTGTCTTTTGTAATAGGAAGAACTTGTCTTCCTTTTTGTCTTTTTTTTAACTTTTGAGTTTTTCTTTACAGTCAGAAGAAGAAGCTGTAGAAGGAGAGAAAGAAGTTGATGCTTTGAAGAAAAGTGTAGACTGGGTGTCAGACTGGTCCAGTAGGCCTGAGAACATTCCACCTAAGTGAGTTCTCCCATGTTCTCATCAGTGGGCACAGGGCGTGTGTATGCAGTGGACCTGCCAATTCCCACTGTTTTCAGCAAATGCATTTCTGATGCCTGCTTCTGAATTTCTTCCCTCAGGGAGTTCCACTTCCGGCACCCAAAACGTTCTGTTTCTTTAAGCATGAGGAAAAGTGGAGCCATGAAGAAAGGGGGTATTTTCTCTGCGGAATTTCTTAAGGTGTTCATTCCATCTCTCTTCCTGTCTCATGTTTTGGCTTTGGGGCTAGGGTAAGTACTGGGCAGCTTGTACAGATTTTTTTCGTTCATTTTACCTTCATGTTTTATTTCCAGATGTCAGAAATACATGCAAAAGCAGTTTGTATTGTTTGCTATTAATGTTTTAGTGCAAATAGAGTGTGAGCTTAAAAAAGTTATTAAGGTTGGTACAGTGATCAGCATTTTTAATTGTAGGGATTTTTTCTGAAAAATAATTTCATATTAATTTCCTAAGTGATCTTTTTTAAAAAAGATTTTTTAAATTTATTTTTAGATAAAGGGGAAGGGAGGGAGAAAGCGAGGGAGAAATATTGATGGTGCAAGAGAAACATGCAGCCTCTCACATGCCCCCGCCCCAGTCAGGGACCTGGACCCATACCCCAGGCATGTGCCCTGAACTGGAATCGAACCTGTGACCTTTTGGTTTGTGGGATGATGCCCAGCCCACTGAGCCATAGCAGTTAAGGCCTACGTGATTGGGGTTTTTTAAAGTATATTTTATTAATTACGCTAGTACAATTGTGCCATTGTTTTCCCCTTTAGCTCCCTCTGCCCTGCACCCCTCCCCCAGCATCCCGCCCCCGCCCCCGCCCCCTTAGTCCTTAGTTCATGGCCATGGGTTGTACCTATTAGTTCTTTGGTTTCTCCATTTCCTATACTATTCTTAAACTTCACCTATTTTGTGCCTACCGGTTATGCTTCTTATTCCCTGGACCTTTTCCCCCTGTTCTCCCCTCCCCCTCCTCACTGATAACCCTCCATGTGATCTCCATGTCTGTGACTCTGTTCCTGTTCCAGTTGTTTGCTTAGTTCTTGTTTTTGTTTTAGTTGTTGATAGTTGTGAGTTCTTATTTTACTGTTCATAGTTTTGATCTTTTTCTTAGATAAGTCCCTTTAACATTTCATATAATAAGGGCTTGGTGATGATGAACTCCTTTAACTTGACCTTATCTGGGAAGCACTTTGTCTGCGCTTCCCTTCTAAATGGTGGCTTTGCTGGGTAGAGTCATCGTGGCTCTGGGTCCTTGCCTTTCATGACTTCGAATACTTCTTTCCAGCCCCTTCTTGCCTGTAAATTTTCTTTTGAGAAATCAGCTGATAGTCTAATGGGAGCTCCTTTGTAGGTAACTCCTTTTCTCTTGCTGCTTTTGAGATTCTCTCCTTATCTTTAATTTGGGGTAACTTAATTCTGATATGCCTTGGTATGTTTGTTCTTGGATCCAGTTACTTTGGTACTCTCTGAGCATCCTGGACTTGCATGTCTTGTTCTTTCACCATATTGGGGAGGTTTTCCTTCATTACTTGTTCAGATAAATTTTCAATTTCTTGCTCTTCCTCCTTTCCTTCTGGCATCCCTATGATTAGGATGTTGGAATGTTTAATGTGGTCCCAGAAATTCCTAAGCCTTTCCTAATTTTTTTGATTTCCTGTTTCTTCATTCTGTTCTGATTGAGTATTTATCTGTTCCTTCTGCTCCAAATCATTGATTTGAGTCCCAGTTTCCTTCCTTTCACTGTTGGTTCCCTGTATATTTTCCTTTCTTTCACTGTGCATAGCCTTCATTTTTTCCTTCATTTTGCAACCATACTCAACCACTTCTGTGAGCACCCTGATTACCAGTGTTTTGAACTCTGCATCTGATAGGTTGTCTGTCTCCTTGCGCTTAGTTCTCTTTTTGAAGTTTTGATCTGTTTTTTCATTTGGGCCATATTTCTTTGTCTCAGAGCTCCTGTTATGTTGGAAGGGGTGGAGCCTCAGGTATTTGCCAGGGCAGGGCGACCCAGGTCACTGTGCTGTGATGCTATGTCGGGGGGAGGGGTCCCAGAGGGGACAGTGCTGCTTGCTCAGCTCCTCACCCCACTTTCTGTTACTTCCCCCGCTACCCATAAGCAAATTGGGCCCTTCTAGTGCTGATTCCTAGGTGGGTGGGTTTGTGTATGTTCTAGGACCCTGTGGGTCTCTTCAGCAAATTCTCCTGTGAGGCTGGGAGTTTCTCCTGCCACTGCAACCCCAACAGATTTTTACAGCCAGAGGTTTTGAGGCTTTCTTTCCCACACTGGGACCCTGGGTTGCACGGTCTGTCTTGCTCCCCAGCTGTTCCTCATGGTTTATCCGCAAGTGAATGTGGGACCGCCTGGTCTGCCGGTGGCCGCCTTACCATGTGTCCTCTCCACCCCGGCTGCCTGTCTCTGCCCCGCCCACCGGTCTGGGTGAATGTTTCTTGTTTAACTCCTTGGTTGTTGGACTTGTATACAGTTAGATTTTCTGACAGTTCTGGTTATTTTTTGTTTTTAAATTGGTGGTTATTCTCCTTTTGGTTGTGTGAGGAGGCAAAATGTATTTACCTCCTCCTCCACCTTGGCTGTCCCTGAGTGATCATTTTTAAGTATGCTTGTCTATGATTTGTTTTTGGGTTTTGTTATTGTTTATAAATTACTCAAGATTATTTAAACTAATGTAAACTAATTTTCAGTATGTAAGTTTTGGGGTTGATGTGAACATTTTTCCCCAGTTGGGAAGATTCACTATTTTATTGTCTAGTCCTTGAGTGAAACTGGTAGGTTGTTTGAGATACTGTTTTCCTTCTCTTTGTAGCATTTCCATTTATTCTTCTAAATCGGTCCCACATTTACCTGTACTTCATTAATTTTTCAGGCATGCCTTTTAAATTTTTTTTCTTGATTTGAGTAATTGAGGAAATATATTTGTGAAAGATTTTAGGAGTTAAACACTAGCTGTTAATTTTATTCCAAGACATACCTGTTATTCTCTTCAAGCATGTCCAGTGGGCCACTTTTTGTATATAACAAGCAGAAGATACATCTTCCCTGAGCTTCCCTTTGCGGAGCTCAGCACATGGGAGAGATGTGCACTGTCATGAACACAGAAGCATACGCGTGACTGTTCCACGCACCCCTTTTGTCTTTGTCTTTCTGAGTGAGGTGTCTGTTTTGAGGAGAGTGGTCACAAACATCACAGTGGAAGGTGTTTGTGGAGGAAGGAGTGTGTGACCGTTGTATGGGGTTGGAGTGGGGGCAGAGGTGGGACTTCTACTCCCCTCCAGCATTGACTGCACTGTGATTCATTTGCCCTCAAGAGGTTGATTTTTGTGCCTTGCAGTATCTCTTCCTTTCATGAACCCAGACTGTTTCTCTTGCTGGTGTAAGTATAACAGTTGTTATAGATGAATGTAAAAAAAAGGATTTAAAAAATTTGGTTGGTTTTATTACACTGGGGGGTGGGGCTAATTCTATATTTTCCTTCACTTCCGTTCTGCTTATGATGTTTAAAGGTAAAATACTTGCTCGGCACAAAGAAGTAACATTAGCCTCTTAATCCTTTAAAGTTAAACTGCTAGTAAGAGCCCTTTTGAAAGCAGTGGAAGCACTGGCAGCTTTATAATTGGGGATGTTACTATTCAGTATATTTTGTATCTGAAGTTATCAGTCAGCCTACAGAAAAGTAGAACTTTTTGTCTACCACAAAGGAGTAATCGAAAGGAGGCTGGCTCTCCTTTATTCTTTGAGGGAAGCTTTTCTTTCTGGCTTTCCCTTGTCTATTCACTGCCCCCGCACTGTCCTGTCCAGCCTTGAGAGTTAAACGTACTCAGATGAAACCAGCGGGGTCAGCTGGTGACTACTTCTAGGTCAGTCGGTGAGGATTTCTGGATGCCAGGAGAGTGTGCACTTACCATTCGAGCATTTTAGAAGGACTGGAAATTTGAGTTGCTATTAGAGTTCATCCTGTGGACCAGCCAGCTGGTGCAGAACTGTTCAAACAGGTGAAACATGGTGCGTTTTGTTTCCTTTCAGCATCTATATTGGAAAACGACTGAGCTCGCCTTCTGCCAGCACCTACTGAAGGAAAGAAGCCCCTGGAAAAGCGTGTGACCTGTGAAGTGGTGTATTGTCACAGTAGTTTATTTGAACTTGAGACCATTGTAAGCATGACCCAACCTACAACCCTATTTTTACATATCCAAGCTCCAGTAATTCTCAAATCCAGTATTTTATTCAAACTCTGTTGAGGCATTTTACTAACCTCATTCCCTTTTTGGCCTGTAAGACACTTTAGAATTTCCTAACAGAGTTTACTGTTGTTTAGAAATTTGCAAGGGCTTCTTTTCCGCAAATGCCACCAGCAGATAATAATTTTGTCAATAATGCTGTTGTCTCCTTTTAGTACCACCAGACCGAGACCTGAATCATTCATGATATAAATTTTATTCTTGCGAGATGACTACCGTCTCTCTCTGAAAACAAGGTCAGGTTAGCAAATGATATAAAAGCTTTGTTGTTTTGTTTTTCAAGACAAGGGCAAGCTTCCCTAATTAGGCTTGAATTTATTAGTTATGAAAAAAGAAAACAAGGGGAAAAAAACACAAGACACAAGAAAAAAATCCTGGGCAATAAAAAATTATTTTCAACCAGCTCCGGAGCCACTCCTGTCTAAGCTCCTGCTGGCACCTTTTCGCCTGCGGCGGCGGTCTGTGCGGGCGACGGGTGTGAGATGGGATAAGGACTAAAGCACATCAGCAGGTTTAGTGCTAGTGTGTTGTGATGCTGTCTTTCCTATGGTGTAGAATCGTTATTTCTGACAAGGAATGTCTCAGGCCTAGAAATACATGAAATTGCTTTTGGGATTTTGGTGTGTGTGTTTGGTATTTTTTTGTTTATTTAGCTGCATGTGAATTTTTCATGACTTACTTTCCATTTTAAAATTTTTTCTTTCTCAAGAAGAGGCTTTGGAATGAGGTCCAGTTTGTGGTATAAATACAGGTTCGCTGTCCTAGGAAGCATCATGTCAACTCTGAACTAAAGATAATTGTTTGAGTTACTCCAAGCACTTGTGCAACTTGGATAAAGAGACTTGGTTTGTGGGAACATTAGACGCAGTTTGAAAAGATGCCACCTGTTGTTTCCTGATCTCTCCTTTGTTCGTGTTTACTGTGCGACCTTCCTGAGGCGACCCTGTGACCCTGCAGGTGCTGCCCGCTCTCTGTCGTAGCCACTTCTCAGTTACGTCAAACGCCTGAAGTTCCAGAACCCTCAACGGCTTCCTTCAGTGACATGCTTTTTTTGTTTGTTTGTTTCTAAAATGTGAAGCTTTAGGACCAAATTGTTAGAAAGTGTCAGGATTACCAATTATTTCAAGTAGATTTATTGGATTTCAGAACTCATAGCATGACCCTGAAGGATACTATTATATGTTTTATATATAAATAATTACTGTTTATGATATAGACATTACTATTGAATATTTAGAGAACCATTGTTAATTTTAAAACTAGCAATTTACTCATTAAATAAAGTGCATCAGGTTGACTTGAATAAAAACACTTGGACAACCAGGTTCACCAGTTTGCAGAAACTATGTAACTCTTCTCTCTCTCACATCAAGTTTTGTAAAAATTATGTGTTATAGTGGAAAATAACGTATAGATTCAACAAACAATTTCTGGCTCTTTTTTTTTTCAAGTGTATAGCTGGCTATCTTTAAGAAAAAGATGATATATACAAAATAGTTTTCTGAATTGTTTTACTTTTTCTTTCTAGCAATGTATGCTAAATAATTTTGGACACATTTTTATTATACCTTTTTTCTATCTTACTCTTAAACCTGATAACACTTGATTTGCCTTCCATAACCTATTTATTTCAAGTGTTCATACCTAAATTTCTTTGGGAAGAACAAAAATCTGATGGCCCACTGATGTTTGCAGAGCCTGAGCAAAATTTAAAAGGCTGGGCAAGTTAGAACTAAATAACTAAATTGCTATAATATACAACTTGTATTACAGTTGGTGTCATGGGAGGGAAAGTAAAATTATTCTTAAAATAAGAGCAACTTTTTTCAGGCAATACATTACCCACTGTTGAAATTCAGTACCAGTTCTATCAGTAGTGTGATTGAGCTTGGGTATATTTATGGTAATTTTTCCACATCGAAAATAAATTTAGTTTTGCCCTTTTTCTTAAAAATACCAGTGAAGTTTTGGACTGCTTATTATAGGGTCACAGTAGACCTTCTCCTGCGATGGAATCACGCAGGGTTTATCGGGGGGCCTTACACCCGTGGTCGCTGCCTGCGCTCCTACTCAGGTGTGTGGTGAACGGAAGCAGAGTGTGTGATTGGAAAGGAGAATTAACAATTCACCAGTGATATTTTAAGATTAATGGTTAAAAGCTTTACACCTGTTTACAATTTGGAGCTAAAAAGGCAGACTTCATTTTTTTTTCTGTTTGATGAAAATTGGCTTCAAATATTTATAAATCGTCAAGAACAAAACTGCACAAACTTGCACATGCACATTGAAAAGTTCAACATGTTACTTTGATGACAGTACAAATACTTACTGTCCTAAAAAATGAAAATTGAAGACTTAGCCAGGCGGATGAATTTTTAAGTGAACCAGTTGTTGAAATTATTGGAATTAACTGAGCCAAAGTGATTATGCATTCTTCATCTATTTAGTTAGCACTTTGTATCATTATATACAGTTTACAATACATGTATAACTTGTAGCTATAAACATTTTGTGCCATTAAAGCTCTCACAACACTCCTCCTGTCCGCCTGTCATTTCCAGTCACGGGTGTCGCCCGGGAGTTCAGAGGAGGTGAGAGCATTTTGTCATGGAGCCTGCGGGAGCGAGTGGCACTCCTGCTCCCCGCGCGTCCGCGCCCGGGAGACAGGCAGCGCGCAGGCGGTTGGTGGGAGCGGTGTGTGTGGAGCGCGACGGGACCGTGGCACGCAGAGCCTTTGTTCTGCCAGACAGAGTCAGGACATTCTAGAGGAGGTGACATACTGAAAGACAAGTAAGTGCCCCGCGAGTGCAGGAGGGGATTAGGGGCGCCGCCCGCCTGGGTAGCAAGCCCGGGAAGGGAACTGCATTCCAGACATAGCGTGAGCTGCAGCGTGGCTGGGGACACTGGGCAGAGAGCAAGCTGGAGGGGCCTTTCGGTGCTGAACCAAGCTGGGGTGTACACGTGGCTCCTGGGGGCGAACTGCATTGTCTAGTCAGTGGGATCCCTTGGAGGGGCTTCCTTAAAGCGGGGAGATGGCTGAGGACTGAGGCGCTGGGCGGCTATGCGAGAGTGAAGGGGAGGCTAGAGGCAGGACTGGGCAGTTCTGGAGGTAACGAAGACGGGCCTGTCCTGCTGTCCTGCTGTCCTGGGCTGTGACCCGACGGATGGGACGGGGGGCCCAGGTGGGTATGAAGGTATGAGACACAAAGTGGGAGGGAAGATGGGGGGCTTTTTTTGGTGCTGGGGTCTAGGGGGAGCCTGAATACAAATTAACTGAAGAAGCGAGGACAGGAGGCGGAGTGGAGTGGTGAAGGGGGAGAGCGAGGCCCCCCATTTTGAACACGTGGAACCTGGTTTGAACATAACCACCTCTTACACAGAGCGAGAACTTGGGAGAAAGGTCTGGAGTGGACATGAAACCCTGAGAGGCACATGCCTTTATATCATACAGTGTTTAAAGATTTGAACACGGGGAAAAAGGAGTTAAAATAGCAGTGCAGTGTTTATCATTTGAAGATTGAGCAGAGGAAGCAGCTCAAAAAGGTGTGTATTGTAGTAGAACAACCCCCCCCCACCCCCCCGCCCCAGCCAAGAGAAGGAGGCTTCCCGTCCTGTCACTTTGGTTAAGGAGAGTGACTTGAAGGGACGCTTTTGAACTTGACAGTTGAATCACTGCTCACCTTTGCAGGAGCATTTTCTGTAAGAGCAAAATACGGATAAGACTGTAATCAGGTTAGTGACTGAGTACCAAGTGAGGAAGTGTTGGCTTTCCTCAGTACATGTGGAGACAAAGAAATGAGAGGGAGGGTTTTGAAGAGACAGGATGGTAGGATCTTTCGCTTAGGCTGAGGTGGCTGGGATAAGAGATGGGAGTAAGTGTGCGGGCTGAGGAGAGTGTGCGAAGGACACGTTCAAGGTGCGTGGGAAGAGACGAACAATGCAGTAAGATCCAGGCAGGAGGAGGCTGCGTTGAGGACTCAGAGGGGAAATTAACCTTGGAAAGAAGTAGAGGGACTTTTGGAGCCATTAAAAAGTTCACCAAACCCAAACATTTATGATAGGAAACGAAGTACGTAGGGTTTCTTAGTTTTTCTGAAAAAATTCTGGAGTGTCGGTTTGTATCTTGAAAGTCATAGCTCCTAACTAAAACATGACACTTAATATCCTAGAAAACACTTAGCCGTTCTGAGGGTAGGTCTGGGAGGTAGCGGAATCGGACCCCGCCGCAGGCAGCGCTGGCGGCGCGGCGCGGCCCACTCTGCTCCGCGTGACTGACAGGCCTGTGGGAGACAGGTTTTAAGCTCCAAGCTATCCATTTGGGCATCGCTAATTTCAGCATCATGAATAATTATGAAAAAGAAAACTTCATACACATTTCAACCATTCCTGAATGTTAATTTTGATATCATCTGTGCTTTTATAAATGCTGTAATGTTCCTGCCAAAGAATCCACATTTTGGGGGTGAGAATAGCATGAAAGACAGTATCACGGGTTTCTTCAGCATCGCTGTGTTAGCCGCATAACTTAGGAAGTCGCTGTTTGGGGTGCAGAGCAAAGGCGGAAGAAGTATGGAAATGTTGAGGGAGCACTTAAGCATAGACCAGATACCGACTTGTGAGCTCTCACTCTATTAATTATTATTCAATGTATTGGGGTGACGTTGGTAAAGAGCTCCCGTGTTCTTTAACCCTCACAGCAATCCATTTGAGGTAGATGCTTTTTTGGTTTTACCAAAGAGAAACTCCAAGTTTAGCAGCTGCACCAGGTAGGTCTCTGCCCATAGCGAGGTGGCCCTCACCTCCACTTGGACTGTCCTTCGCAGAATGCACGCTCCGTGGTAGCTGGGTCAACTTTATATTTTTTCGCGGATGTGACTTTTTTTCTAGTGGGAAAAGAAATCACGTGTTAATGCAGTGAACCTAATCTTAAAGGAAATTCCTATATTAACTAACGCAGTGTTTTCCTAACTTTGGTTTAACATTCACGGTTTTTGCCATTTAAATGTCAGGTGGATGAAGTGTTAAAAAAACTATTCTGTGTAAGAAACAGATTTTCATTCCACAAAAGCAACTATGACCCTTTTGTTTCATGTATTATTATTTTTTTTAATCCTCACCTGAGGACATGCTTTTTGATATTAGAGGGGAAAGGAGGAAGGGGGAGGGGAGAACAAGAGAAACATTGATGGGTTGACTCTCATGTATTTCAACCAGTAATCGAACCCGTGACCTTGCTGTTTACGGGGTGATGCTCCAACCAACAGCCACACCGGCCAGGGCTGTTTCATGCATTCTTTTAAGCAGCAGATGTTCACTGTGTATGCACTGCATGCCAGGGACCTTGCAGGGACACCCGATTTACAGCTGTTGTATTAGTCAGCTCTGACCAGTAGACTCCAGTGTGGTCTGACCCCCAGGCCACAGGAGCTGTGAAAAAGCAGGTTTGAAGTGGCGGTGTCACGGCGAGGCCAGAGAGCTGCCCTGCGGACACCGACGGCCCCTCCAGTTCTCCCAGGGCCTCACTTGGCAGCCAGCGCCCATGCTGCCTCTGTCCCAGGAGCTCCCTCTGGGAGCTGCCCGGCACTGCAGTCTGAAGGAGAGCCGTGTGCCCCAGCCTTGCCCTCGGTGTTGCCCATCCTTGAGCCAGACCCTCTCAGTGTGTGCCTGTTGGGGCTTTGCTCATGTCCTGCCCACAAGGGAGGCTGGGAGAGTGAGCCGTTGGGGATGGTCTTTTGCCTTCCGGCCCCTTCAACCAGGATTCATAAAGTGGCTGATTGTTCCAGTGTAGCTGGTGCAAGTGCTATGTTGCCGAAAGGAAAGACAAATATCTGTGACTGAACAAAACAGACATGGAACTTCCCTTCTGGAGGGAAAGCAAACAAATAACTGCACTAATTACTATGACAAGTGTTAAGAAGGAGTAAAGAACTCTGGGAGAGAGCGTCACAGGAGAGCTCAGGAAGTGCCCTGCAGGCGGAGAAGCAGGCAGCTGTGCGGCGAGAAGCGGGAGAACATTCTAGGTATGGGGAGCAGCGTCTGCTCTAAGGTGGAAAAGAAAAACTGGTGCCGTGACTGGAAGCGGGTCAGGTGGAGACGGAGAGCCGGGGAGAAGTCGGACCGGCAGGCGGCAGACGTTAGGTACGGCCCCGGAGGCCTCGCGGAGGACTGTCGGCTTCATTCCAAAGTCTGGGGACGCCACCGGGGCGTCGTAAACAGAGGACCAGCGGGCATAGATTTGCGTTATTAAAAGACCGTTCTTTGAAACAGAGAGTGAACTTGAGAAGGACGAGGATGAATAAGGGATGACCAGTTCAGTTTGCGGTTGTGGAAATGGGGAAAAACGGGGGTTTGAGAGCTCTCCAGGAGGTAAACTGGACGGGGCTGAAGGAGGTGCAGGATTTGTTACACACACGTGACAAAGGTTACT